TATGAATAGAGCAGCTGAATCAAGAACACTGGACAAGTGAACTGTCTTTGACAACCTTAATTCATAAGAGTTAAGTAAACTACAGGAACTATTAAGAGTAGCCTTTCTGCAACAGGAGAGTACCTACAGGGATAAGGTAAATGGAACTTTTGCTCTTGTTTTGAGACATGGTCTCGTGTAGCTGAGGCTTGAATTCCTGATGCTCCCAAGGGCTGGGATAATAGGTGTACCTTATGCCTGGCTCAATTGAACATATAACTCAGTTTAATGACATCCAGTGAAAATTACACAGAGATATCAGTTAAACAACTTGGCAAAACACTATTATACAGGTTTGAAACAGAAAGGGATAAAACTATTCTACTAGTGTACAAGTGGCCAGGTCCTTGAATTTCATAAAATATTAAGCATAGGAAAAAGCCCCACGGTGTGCTTAGGATAGATGTTTCTGGGTTTCATGTCTATTGCCAGCCTCCAAGTGCTTACACTGCCCATGAATGAGATATTGGAGCCATTTCTATTCAACAGCAGCTGGTTTCTTATTTCCCAAGACACACTTCAAGTCTGCCACCCAAAGATCCACAGGACAACATGCCAGTCAATATCAGGCTATAGGGACCACAGAGAACTTGGCTTGGGAAACTAGTATGGGTCTTCAGAAGGCAAGGAGTCTCTGCTAGAAGGCAGAAATGCATCTTTATCAAGTGCCTTTCCAAAACGCACAGAACATTCCTACTGGAACTGGATTCTCTTCAGGAAGAAAAGTAAATAGTTCATAATTAGAGAAGACATATTTCTAGACTTTTTTCTGGAAAACTTGTTCACAGACAATTATTAATAAAGCAAAAGGTATCCATGTTTCTGTAAAAAGTCAAGTACCCCTTGCAAACTGTCAATTTAAAAAACAAACAACCTACTACATTGCTAAAGCAAAGGTATTCGGTTATTAAACTGAAACCAGAACTGTTTCAAATACCTGCTGTTACTTTCGTAATTTATGTCCCTAAACTTACCTAAAAAACCCAAAGAGTTTGACATTTGCCTGGCATCTTGCCCACATCCTTATTGTTTAGTGCAGTAAATGTCAGACTCTACCTAAATGAATAACAGCTACACAATTATCAGCGTATGGTCTCAATGCCAGTACTGTGATACTGTAATACAGAAACACTCTTGAGACACATTTGCCACCAAGAACATACATTAAACTCCCAACTCTTCTTCACACGGAAACCAATTACACAAGTTGTTTAGATTGACATTGCAGTCCATCTTATGAGACATACTGTAAAGACCCGCAGGCTAGCACTCATCAACTAGAGCAAGAGCAGGGGTGGAAAAGAAAAGTTACTACGGTTTCAAGATGTTTAAAAAAGGAACTTAAGAAAAAGATTAGGAATTTTATCTAGAAGCGCAAAAATAATTACTATAAATTTCAAGAAGTATTTTCCATAAGCCTTTTTACCTTAAAATTCTAAACACAAAGTTTGTTGGCATTAAGTTTGGTATCCCAAGTTATTAGTAGGCAAAATAGAAATATACTATACATATTCTTCTAAGTTAATTATCTTAAACTAGCAAGACAATAATGTAAGAAGCATTCTAAAACTGAAACCATTCAAAAGATAAAACCTTATATTTTAGGAAAATTATTCTTCCCATTAAAAAATTCCTTCCAACTTTGCAAACATATCCCCCATGGAGGGATAACTGCCTTATTCTAGAGATAGGAGAGAAGCCCTAGTCCCTACTTCACAGGACCTGTCAGATCTACATGACCCCAACTGGATGGCATTCCCCTACATATTGTATTGTGGTGGGGGGTTGGGAGGGGAGGGTGTTTAGAGTGCATGGGAGAGGGTAGAGAGGGCAAAAGGGAGGGAAGGAGGGAGGGAGGGCTTGGGGGGAGGGAGGGAGGGAGGGAGAGGGAACTGGGATCGACATGTAAAATAATAAAAAAAAAAAAAAAACGCTTTGACTCCAAAATTTAAGTTGAAAAACAAGTTACTGGGGAAAAGTATTTCTATTTTTGTTTCCACAGAAAATGAAAAGATGTGGATTCCTTCCAGGCTAATGTGGTTTGATCACACCAGACCGCCTGAAACAGAGTACAAGCTGATCCTACATTCCAAACAGCTGGACAAAACAGCCCTACAGACTACAGCTAGGATATCTGAATCTTCTTCGAATCCCCCAAGACAGCGCCCCTTACCAGCAGGAAGTAGTTTGGAAAGAACGACGCCCAAATTCCCAAATATTGTGTATAAATGTTTGTTTTCATTTAATTGGACTTTGTTATATAAAATTAAATAAAAAATACTCTATATGCATAAAAAAAAATTCCTTCCAAATAAGAGTTAAAAGTAAGGGCTTCACGCTGGAAAGTGTGAGATCAAATTTCAGGAAAAAGACAGGGTGTCTATGTTGCTCCCTAACGTTCCTCGGATGAAGGAAGATGTTTTACTTACACTGGACAAACACAGGCTATACTATTCTCTTCTCTTGCCCATCTCCCCAAACAGCCAGACATGGTGGAAGGAGTCCTGTGGTCCCAGCTACTAGGGAGGCTGAGGTGAGCAGACTGGGGCCCAGGTGCTGGAGGCCAGCACGGGCAGCACAGGGAGACTTTGTCTCCAAAACAAGGGAGCAAACCAACCAACCCCAAATATGTTTTAAGGAATTTTTCTTTCCCCAGGAAGGAGATGGAAAATTTTGGAAGGAAAAAAACCAAGTACAAGCTACACAAATATCCTTTGTAAAGTGCTTTGAAACAGTTTTGAGAATTGCAGTTTCAATACTTCAAAGCAAAAAGCATAAAAAAATACAGTGCTTTCTTAGTTTTCGGTCAGAGGGACAAAAGATTGCATGCCTATGGGAAGACACAGGCTCAGGTTTTAGGCTCAAAGTACAGTAAATTGGCAATAACAGTGGATTAAAAGTAAGAGAGCAAATAAGGCTGTAAAGCCATTGCTGGTCAGGTGCAGATGGGGTTCTGAAGGCTGATGGCACCACTGCAAACATCTGTAGTGTCTGTCCTCAGAACCAGGGTGGAAACAAGAACAGAGGAAACTCAATGCAGCTTTCATGACTTACGAAGCACAAAGTCCCCCAACCCCGACGTTACTGAGAAACTTAGCTTTGACAGCCTTAAAGTTATCAACTACAGTTATTGACTAAAGAAGTGGAGAAAAGTAAATTGCTTTTTTAAGATTTACCCCCATATTTCAGAAATTTAACTCACTTTAAATGATCAAAGTCCTAAATCCTTTTGTCATTGTCATCTTAATTTTAAAGAGAAAGTTACATAAAAGATAAGAGAAAAAAATTATCCAGTATTTTCTTCATTCCTTTTGGTCAAAGAAGCACAATTCTTCAACAAGTGAGATCTATTTTCAAATAATTAAAAATCTTCAAATCTTAAGCTGTTCACTGTCTTTTTTTTTTTTTTTTTTTTTTTTTTTTTTTGAGACAGGGTTTCTCTCTGTGTAGCTCTGGCTGTCCTGGAGCTTGTTCTGTAGCCCAGGCTGGCCAGAACTCAGAACTCAGACATCTGCCTGCCTCTGCCTCCCAAGTGCTGGAATTAAAGGTGAGCCACCATCACCCAGCTATCACCATCATTTTAAAAACTGAAGTGTGGCTGCGTTTGGCTCATCCTGTCGGCTTTGCTTCCTTGACTGTGTTGGCGAAGGACAAGCTCTAAAACTGAACATTATGAAGCTCTCCTCAGGTTAAGGCTGTATTACTTTGCCCCCCTTTAAATGACAGGTGTCTGTTCTTCCTGTTGTCTGTGGGGAAAGGTGACAGACACAACTTTCCTTTAAAACTGCTTATTGCACTAAAAGAGCAAAAACTAGTCTGTTCTTAAACATGATTACATTTCCATAAAAGATGTGGCCAGTGCAGTTTATAACTGTTAAAGCACTATTCTAATGCATATAAAGGCAAAAGGAGCTATACTTCAACATACATATATGTTTATATATATACATTCACATATATAAAATATATATATGAAAGTCACATTAAGGTATGAGGGTAGTAACTAGCAAAAAACAAGAACCCCCCAATTCCTTCTCTTTCCATACTATAGAGTTTCAGATTTTTAAAATATTTACCCTTTATAAAAGCTTTAAGGGATTTCCAGGTATAACTCACACAAACAGGGGCTTCAGAACATTTGTCACTGGTCAGAAAGACTTCTGACAAGGTTTGTACTTATAGCAGCTTCAACACACGCACTACAGAAAGGAGTACTAGGGTCGCCACTGCTTCTATACACAGAGCACACATGGCAAAGGGAAGTCCAGAGCAAGAAGGAGCAGACACTCAGAAGCTGAGAACCCAGAACTGGGTATGAGACAGGAGCTAGCAGTAGGGTACATAAAATAAAAACAAATCCAGTTTGCCTTGCTTTGCTTCAGATGAATCATATATGAGCATATGAGTGTCATTTGTTGCAATAGGGACAGAAGTATAGATGCTGAAGGCAAGTAGGAAGGGAAATGTCAGTGGCTTGAGGAGGGACACAGGGAAAAGAAAGTTCCCCAGTGGAATGAACTGTAAAATATATGCAGAGACACACATATATCATTAATCTAGATCTAGATATATGTGCACAGGAAGTATACATGTGTGTATTTAAAGTACAGACTCTTTAGAAGAACAGATGAATGCACATTAGTTTCCTGCACATATAACTGAACAATCATTATTCCTGTAGGTGTGTGTTTTTAAACCATCATTCGCTTTTTCTTTTTTGCAAAGATATTTGTGCTGCCAAGCAACTTGAGGTAAAGAAAGGCATTAAAAGGGTTAGACTGTAACAGTGAAAACAAACAACCTCGATGCTTCCTACAGGAGACTGCAAAAAAGCAGCTGGCTGGTTTCCTAGTGCATAATGGTACTGCGTTCCTTGACAAAGTAAACAATTTTCCATGGATCAACAAGGACTAGACCCTTACAGTGTTGGCTTCTGGATGGCTGCAGCATCCCCAGTGAGCTGACTCCACTGGAAACATACACTGTATGCTGACCCCTCTTTCAGCTCATCCTCTCAGAGAATGCACTTGGACTTGTTAAGCGAAGTACATTGTACGTAAGGTATCTTGGTGAATTTGTACAGCCTTGGCAAGAGCCTGTGGATCTCGCCCATTGCTCTGTCCTGAAACGTGGCTTCCTTCAGCACTGTAAGAGAAAGGTTAATGAACACAAGCATAAGCCTCTGTTCTCATGTAAAAATTCTGAAGAATATTACATTTAGAAAATTCCAAAAATACTAGAAAAGAGGAACTGATGTAGTAACCTTTGTGTCTATTGTTTAGCTTCCATAGGGCCAATTTTACTTTGGCTCTTTCATTTTCTCAGGATTAATTAGAAATAAATTCCAGACAGCATTTCATTGTTGTCATATGTATGTGTATATATATATATACACACACACATACATATATATGTATACATACACATATACATATATACACATATATACATACACACATATATAATTTATTTATTTTTACTAACAATATCTTCTAAGTTACTAGATCATTCTATTCTTTTTTTAAAGGTTTATTTAATTTTCAATGTGCATGAGCATTTTGCCGGCATTCTCTCTCTCTCTCTCTCTCTCTCTCTCACACACACACATACACCATGTACATGTCTGGTGCCACAGATCACCTGGAACTGGTTTAACAGACAGGTGCGAGCCACCGTGTGGGTGCTGGGAATTGAACTCCGGGTCCAGGGTCTAGGGGAGCAGTCAGTGCTTCCAGCCACTGAACCATTCATTTCTCTAGCCTCAGATCACAGTATACTTACTAGAAAATCTTATTTTGGGCCATCAGTTGTTATCACTTTCCACATAGTACTCTGGCTGTCTGGCAGTCTGTGGGACTTTAATTCTGAATGGCCAGATTTTAGGCAGACAGAGGTGTACACACACACAGAGGTACTTACAGAAATGGCCTAAGAAATCAGAGTGTATTGGATTTTGTTTGAGCATACCCACTCTTTATGCTTCTATATTACCTATCATGTTCCTTGTCCACAAGGTGATATCTGGCTCTGAATGCCACCAGGTGGGCATAGTATGCAGGGGCAGGAATGGAGACGGAGCGTGTGCACCTCACATAGGTGTGACAGAGCTGGTAAGTCAGCAGCTGAAGTTCATCTGCTGTGAAGCAGTTGTCATCCCACAAGACGTGATAGTGTGAAGGACGGCTGGTTCCCTGCGGAGAAGAAATGGTATATTCTGTTCATTTCTAAACTTCTCTTTCTTTTTAAAAACTTTCCATTGGTGCGGTGGCAAGGTGGCAAAGGGGCAATCCCTAGTATCAACAAAACGAAAACCCGAGAAAACTGGGAAGATATGGGAAGGACAACATTCAGTCAGTGTGAAGTACACGTTCCAACTGAAGTCCCAAAGGGCTCTGGATAAGGTAGTTCTGGGTTGAAGACTCATGATGACTATTTGCATAACAATGGTCTCCCAAAGTTCTAAAATAACAAACCTGTTAAACCAGTATTCCTAAAAACTTATCAACAGAGAATCTTTGTTTTCCTCTGTGATATTTATTAAAAAGCTACAATGGGGGCTTCTAGATGGCTTAGTGGGTAAAGGCTCTTGTGTGCAAGCCTGATGACCTGAGTTCAACACTTGGAACTCTAGTGAAGGGAGGAGAGAACCAACTTCCAAAAGTTGTTCTTTGACCTTCATTTTGCCCCTCCCTACACACATACACACACACAGAGTAAATTTTAAATTTTAAAGTTGTTTTTGTAAAGCTACAATGGTAGCTAATATAGGTTAAAATGTATATTAGGTTAAAATGCATTATTCACTGAAATTAGTTGCCCAGCTTAAAATTTTTTTGTATTATTATTTTGAGTTATGAATTTCTTAACAAAATAAGGGCTGACAAGATTGCTCAGTGGGTAAAGGTGCTTGACAACAAGCATGACTACCTTTGTTTGATCCCTGGGACCAACGTAGTAGAAGGGGAGAATAGACTCTCACAGTTGTCTGATCACCACCTGCACACACACTTAGAGTTATTTAACTGACACTTATGAGGTACTTCTAAAATTGCATTCTTTTATATGCCCACTATCTACTAGGAAATGTCAAAATTTTTAATAAAGTATGACCATCAAAAAGATGTGTATGCCAAAAGATCATCTATTTTGAACCTTCAAGAGTAAGTTGCTCAATAAGATTCCAAGGAAGGCAGGAGAGATTCCACACATAGGCATAAACTGTAATGTAGAAATACAAGAATACAGTAAGTAAGACAAAAGATCATGATTCCTCAACTACTGAACTCAAAGGCAACGAAATAGGCAACTAACTGCCAGATAAAGATTTCAAAAGTGTCTGAAAAACAGATGCTCAGTCTAGGACCTCAAGAAGGGCACAACACAGAGGGAAAAGGAAGCAAAGTGAATGTAAAAAAATCAGCAACATGGATGAAAAGGTTGAGCAACACATTAAAAAATTTCAAGGAAACTAAGATTGGGGATGGGGTAGGACCTGAATATCAGAAATAAGAAACTCACTGGGTCAAGTAAAAAGCACAGTGAAAGTACTGTCAACAGATTTGACCTCCAGGAGAAAGACTATCAGGGCAGGCTGATGAAACACTGCATTTAATAAGTGTAACACAAATAATAAAGACCCAGAGATAGATTTTGGGGTTCAAACTTCAAGCTGACAATCAGAAAAGCAGAACAGCTGGCCACTAGCTCTCACCTCTACCTCAGGCTAAAATGGGGATCCTGCCTCCACAATCCTCAGACTGTAATCCTAGACTGCTGCCTCTCCTCAGTGTGGCTGGAGAATAAATCTTTAAGACTTTGCTTTTCCTTATATGCTCTCCTCCCAGCCATGTCACTCCTGCCTCCACCTCCCTAGTGCTGGGATTAAAGGCGTGCGATCCCAAGTGCTGGGATCACCTTTGTGTGAGCTGTCTCTTTTAGGACTGGATCAATTTTGTGTAGTTCAGTGTAGCCTTGAACTAACAGAGATCCATCTGCTTTTGTCTTGAGTCCTGGGGTTAAAAGTGCGTGCCACCACCACCTAGCTCTATGGATAGCTAATATGGCTGCTGGGATTAAAAAAAAAAAAATTAAAAGCTGTAAAGAGGAAAATGCCAACTTATCTATATAGGATGGAATATTAGAATAATACTAAATCTCCTCGCAGGTACCCTAAAAGCCAAGAAAGCACAGAATATGTTTCAAGCTGTAGTAAATATAATAGCCAACCAAGATTCAGAAACTGTCATTTAAAATTGATTTTTAGGCTGAAGGATCTTTGAAGGCAAGTGCAAAAGCAGTTCAAGGGCACAGAGCCCACACCACAGAAGACTCATAAAGGAATCCTATGTGTGCACAGAGGACCAGTGTCAATCATCACAGCACAAGAAAAACACATTTCATTAGAACAACAAAAGAGAGCCAGGAAGGAATCTAACACATCCAATACAATAAACCAGAAAACCCCTAAAGTAATAAGGGAGAAAGAAAATAACAAACAATAAATAAATTAACCAGTCAGAAGACAAGCAACAAAATCATATGAATCAGTAAATGTATCCCAGTAATAACCTTGAGTAAAAATAAAGAGACCTGAAGAGATGGCTCAGTAGTTGACAGTCCACATTGGCCTACAAGAGAACGTAAGTTTGATTCCCAGCACACGTTAGGCAGCTCACAACTGTGTTTAGTCTAGCTCTATGGGACCTGACACCCTCTGATCTCTTTGGACACACACACACACACACACACACATACACACACAGATAAATGATAATTAAAAAAAGAGAGAGAGACATAGACCAGATGGCTAGATTAAAAAACTAGATCTAGGGCTAGCAAAATGGCTTAGCAGATAAAGATGTTTGCCAAGTTTCATGATGACCTCAGTTCAATCCCCAGAACCCACATGGTGGAAGGAGAGATTGGTTCCTCTACTCAATACTACATACATACGATGGCATGTGAGCCATGGCACATGTAATAAATAAATAAAAATGTGAAAAAAAAAATCAACCTGAAACTAGATCTTTCTGTTGTCTCCAAAAGACATACTTCACGGGTAAAGACACTAATAGAGTTCAAAGTCAAAAGATGGAAAATAAATCAACGCAAGCCAAGGACACTGACATAGTGATTTTGATGTCTAATAAATTAGACTTCAAGCAAATTGTTGTTTTTATTTATTTATTATTTACTTATTTGCGATAGGATGTCACTATGAGCTCTGGCTTGCCTGGAACTAACTCTCAGAGATCCATCTGCCTCTGCCTCCTGAGTGCTGGGATTAAAGGTGTGTGTCATACCAAGCTAAATAAACTTTAAAGAGTTAAAAAGGGTATAACATAATTCATCAAGAAGATATAAAAATTGCTAATATATATGTACCAAACATTAGCATTTCCAAGTCCATAAAACAAACACAAATAAATGAACATAAGATGTCAGAAGGTCTGATAAAATAGCAGCGAGTGATTCAGTGCTTATTTCTCCTCCAGACAGGTCATCTAAAACACACACATGAAGACCTCTGAGTTGAAGTGTACTATAGATCAGAAGACTTACTAGGTATATACAGAATATTTCATCCAAATATACAGAACACGTTCTTCCTGGTAGCCATAGAACATTCTCTAAAACAGACTGCATTCTAGGTCACCAACCCAGTCTTACCTAACATAAAAACTTGAAATAATTTCCTCTGTCTTTTCAGATCACAGAACAACAAAAGCAGAAATCCATAGCAAGAAAACCACAAACACTACATCAATGCACGGGACTGAACAATCCACACCTGAATCATCAGTGGGTCACTGAGGAAATCAGGGCAGATATCTTAGCTTACTTATTTTATCTTATATGCACGAGTGTTTTGCCTTAAGCATGTAAGTGTACTGTGTGCATACCTGGTGTCCTCAGAGGTCAGGACTGGAATCATGGATGGTTATGAATTACCATGTGGGTGCTGGGAACTGAACCTGGGTCCTCTGCAAGAACAGCAAGTGCTCTTAGTTATTGAGCCATCTTTCCAGCCCCCAGGGCAGAAAATTTAAAAAATAGTTTAATTTTTAAATTTTATGTGCATTGGTGTGACAGTGCCAGATCCCCTGGAACTGGAGTCATAGACAGCTGTGTTGGGAACTGAACCTGAATCCTCTGGAAGAACAGCCAGTATTCTTAACTGCTGAGCCATTTGTCCAGTCCCAGAAAATTTTAAACTCCTAGAATCAAATGTAAATGAAAGCATACATTACCAGAACCTTTGGGATCCACTAAGGCACTACTAGAAGAAATGTTTATAGTTATGTGCTTACATTAAAACCAGTGCAAGTGTTATGACACAGAAAAAAAATTGTATACACTAGATGATACATGGCTTACAGTGTGCAGAATCCAATTGTAAAAATGACTATCTTACTGAAAGTAATGTATACATTTAATGAAATTCCCATAAAAATTTTAATGGTATTCTTCATAGAATGAGAAGAAACAAGCCTGACGTTCACTGAAGCACAAAAGGTCCCTAATAGCCAAAGCAACCCTCAGCAGAAACAGCAGTGCTGGAGATAACCACATTTGAGTTCAAATTATATCACAGAGCCACAGTGAAAAAACCAGCATGATACTAGCACAAAATTGGACATGTAGATCAGTGGAACAGAATGGACAAACCAGAAAGAAACTAAAAATAGCTACAGCCTTAATTTTTGACAAGGGTGTCAAAACACACTTTGGGAAAATGCCTTTTAAAGAAACGATGCTGGGAAAACTGGATGTTCACATGCCAGGTAAGGGACCCTGGCCTGCTCGAGCATGGCTACCATGGAGAGCATGGCTCTGGCAAGCCTTGCCTTTCTCCCCCATTCTCTTTGCCTTGCTAAAAACAGATTACATTCCTAAAGCTAGACACCAAGGTCTATTTCCTTATTTGATCGCTTCCTCCTCCTGAGGCTGACTACCAAGGGACCTACCAAAGTACTGAAATCAAAAGCCCCCTTTGGCTCACCTAATTAAAATGTCCAATAAAAATTAAACACTTCATCCTAGCATGGGATTTCCCTTTTTACCTTTATAAACCACCATTTCCTGTGGGCCATGTCTGTCTCCTCTCTATCCAGAGGTAGTCCTTTGTCCCTCCCGGACAAATATCCCTGACCCTCTCTCTTGTTCCCATCCCCTTCTCCTTCATCTATCTCCTCCTGTCATGGTCCGTCTGGGGCAAATCTCCTTTGTGCTGAGAACTTGGTTTTGGGTGAATGAGCGCACCTAGGAAATAGTACTAGCCTAGATGTCCATGGACAGATGAATAGATGAGGAAAATGTGGCATATGTACTTTTTTTTGGACAGGATTTCACGAAGCTCGAGCTGTCTTCAAGTCTACCGTGTAGTCAAGACTGGCTCTGAACTCCTGATCCTCCTGCCTTCACCTCCTAAGTGCTGAGATCACAAGCTTGCACCACCACACCCAAGCATGCAGTGGAATGTATGCAGTCATAAAGCATAGTGAGATCATGACATTGGACGTCATTACATTAGGTAAAATAAGCCAGATTCAAAAAAGATAACACCAGATATTTTCTTTTACATGTGAAGTGGACATTTAAAATTATGTATGTGTATACATATAAATGTGTCTATTTACACATGTGCACATGGGTAGGTCATAAAACTGGAAAGCAGATAATGAGGAAGGAGGAAGAGAGCTCCGAGGATGGGGAGAAAGCGTAACAGAAAGCCTGCGGCATGAAGTGGGAGCGGGGTGGGAGGCACAGCAGAAGCAAAGGAAGGAAGCAGCAGGATGGACAGGAGGGGAATGAATGACAGCATGGCAGAATAGCATATACGTATGAAAGTGCCATAATAAAGCCTACCAATTTGTATAGTATTAAAATTGATACAAATAAACAAGATCTCATTAAGTTTTGCATTAAAGTAAGGGTCAAATGTAGGGACACTCATTCTATTAAGCTAATCCTGCTATTTTCATAAAAATATTTCCCTTTCAGCTGGGTGGTGGTGATGAATACCTTTAATCCCAGCAGTCAGGAGGCAGAGGAAGGATCTCTGTGAGTTCAAGGGCAGTGTGGTCTACAGAGTGAGTTCCAGGACAGGCTCTAAAGCTACACAGAGGAATCCTATATCAAAAAAAAAAAAAAATTCCCTTTCAAAGTAAGGAAAATGAAAAAATTCACTCACTAAAAGTTTCATGTGGAAATCTAGGAATGCAGAGAAAGTATTATTGAAGTTCTAAATGACAGCACTTGACCTAGGAGCAGGCTTACCTGTATCCCAGCATGGCTACAGAGATAGAAGTCAAACTCATACGGGTGAGTAATGTCGGTGTCAACTGTGGTTCCAGCTGGAATGTTGCCACTTCTCCCAACCTAGATTTTGGATCAAATTTGAAATCAACAAGACAAAAGTTTAAAAATGTATCAGAATGCACATTAAAAATGTTCAAATACACAAACTGACCCCACATTTCACTACTTCCAGCCTGAAAAATTACTGTGGTGATATATTGTGTATGATCTAATGAAGCTTGCCTGAAGCCACACCTTTAATCCCAGCAGCCACACTAGTTAGCCATAGAGGCTGGGCAGTGGTGGTGTATGCCATTAATCCCAGCGCTAGAGAGGCATATAAGACAGGAGCTCAGGATCTCATGCAACATTCAGTCTCCAGACACACTGAGGACAGGATTGTCCCAGCCTTAGTAAAGGTAAGAACTCTCTAGTGGCTTGGTTGCTTTATTTTTCTGATCTTCACCTTGAACTCCAATGTCTCTGGGATTTTATTATTCACACTGCTTATTACTTAAGCAAGTATTAGGTACAGCACTCACATACTCTTACTTCCTAATCTTCAAAAAAAAAAAGGTATTATTTTGTGTGCATGGGTGTTTTGCCTGTGTGCACATGTGTATGGAATACCCATGAAGGTCTGAGAGGGTGTTGGATTCTCTGGGACTGGAGTTACAAATGGTTGTGAGTTACCACATGGATGCTGGGAATTGAACCTAGGCATCTTTAAAAGCAGCCAATGCTCTTGAGCCCTGACTTCTTTTTTATTATTGTTTTTAGAGAAAGTTTCACATAGCCCAAGCTGGCCTCAAACTCTCTATGTAGCTAAGGATGAACAGGTTTATGTGCTGCTGAGGATTGAACCCTGAACTTCCTGCATGCTAGGAAAGTGCTCTACCAACTGAGCTACCCTAGTTTCCCTCATTCCTATTTTTGTAGGTTTCTTTCTTTCTTTCTTTCTTTATTTACTTTGTGTGTATGAGTGTTTTGCCTACATGTATGTCTGTATGTGTGTCTGGTGCCTACAGAGGTCAGAAGAGGACATTGGATCCCCTGAAACTGATAGTGGATGGTTGTGGGCTGGGAGTCAAACTCAGGTCTTCTGCAAGGATAGCCCAAGCTCTTAACCATTAAGCCATTTCTCCAGCCCCAAATCTTCCCTTTCCCTTCCCTTCTTTTCCCTTCCCTTCCCTTCCCTCCCCTACCCTCCCCTCTTTTCCCTCCCCCCTCTTTCTCTCTTTCTTTTGACAGGATTTCTCTGTGTAACAGCTGTCCTAGAACTCACTTTGTAGACCAGGCTGGCCTTGAACTCAGAGATCCACCTGCCTCTGCCTCCTGAGTGCTGGGATTAAAGGCATGTACCATTATCCTCTGACTCCAAATATTTCTTAACATGAGTGCTGATAAATGAGAAAGAGCTATATAGCTTGAATTCCTTGGTGGATGACAGGGTGAAAACACTTAAATTCAGCTGACATTTATGGTACATGTGTATTGTGAGTGTTCTTGAAATACTGCTGTGTGAAATTACCATTTTTTTTCTTGGAGAATACTATATATTAATGAGAAGAAATCTTGGTAACATCACCAAAAGTCAGCATTTATTAGCCATGTCAAGTTTTTTTTTTTTACAGATTTGTTTTACTTATGTGTATCTGTATGAAAGGATGCCATATGCGGGCAGCTGCTCACAGAAGCCAGAGAGGGTGTTGGATCCCCTGGAGCTGAAGTTTCAGGCAACTATGAGCAGTCCATGTGGGTGATGGGAATTGAACCTGGGTCCTCTGGAAGAGCAGCTGGTGTTCATAACTGCTGAGCCATCTCTCTAGCCCTATGTCAGGTTCTTTAAATACAACAGTTTTATATTTTGATGACAATCCATGAGGGCAGAGCTGGGATTAAAACATGAAATAATTATAAAGGCTCAATTCTTTTTATTTCCTACTATCAGTTTCAATATTTTATAGGAGATTTTCTCTGATGGAGTAAGATGTTTAATAATAAAAAGCTTTTTTTTTTTGAAATAGGGTCTCATTATGTAGTTCATGTTGGCCCAGAACTTGCTATGCAGACTAGGTTGTCCTCAAACTCCCAGTGCATTTGTGGCCGGGCGGTGGTGGTGCACGTCTTTGATCCCACCACTTGGGAGGCAGAGGAAGGAAGATCCTTTGAGTTCTAGGTCAGCCTGGGATACATAGTGAGTTCCAGCACAGAGAAAGCCTGTCTTGAAAAACAAACGTGCTGTAGTTACATAGCTTGGATTGAGTACCACCGATACCTTGCTAATTCTGTAATCATCTTGAGAAGTTATTTTAGGTTATATATTCTTCATTTGCAAGATGGGGATAATAATACTAATAACAGACATTATATAGAATATATATAATAATAATTGACTAGTGTTTGGGAAGATTAAATTAGTTAAACAAAAGCATACAGCACAGTGTATACAGCCTAGCATATACAAGGCCCTGTGTATGATTACCAGAACCACAAAAAGAAAGGGAGGAGAGGATGAAAGAAGGAAGAAGGGATAGAGATAGGAAAGGAGAGAGGGAAGGAGGGTCAGGGGAAAAAGTGAGGAAGGGGAAGGGAGAGATAAACATGGGAAACCTGATGGTGGGTCAGGAGCTTGGCTTATAACAATGGTATGACAGATATAAAATTACCCTCTCTGTCCTGTCAGCACAAAACAATCGTGTATGATGTCTCTTCTGAACTACAATGTAGGTTATTCCAGGTTGATAGTCTTTCTCCAAACTGATACAGGCTTCTCGAATTGCCAGTAGCTCATAGTATAATACCTAGAGAAGACACCAACAGAAAGATTGAATACAGACAGTTGTTTCTTTTACATATTCCAAAGTAATATTATAACTTCATGACTTTATTTATTTATTTATTTATTTATTTTTTTTTTTGAGACAGGGTTTCTCTGTGTAACAGCTCTGGCTTCCTTGAACTGGCTTTGTAGACCAGGCTCACTTGAACTCATTAAGATCTGCCAGGCTTTGCCTCCTGAGGGCTGGGATTAAAAGGCATGTGCCATCATAGCCTAGTTAGATCTATTTTCTTTTAGGTCATGCATTGGTGTGAGTTTGTTCACATGACTACAGGTGTCCTGGAAGACAGAAGAGGACATCAGATCCCCTCGAGCTACAGGTTGTAGTATGCCATCTGATGTGGGTGCTAGGACCAGAACTCAGGTCCTCTACAGGAGCAGCAAGCTCTCTTAACTGCTGAGCCACCTCTCCAGTCCCGCCTCAAGACTTCTTAACGTGATTTATTTTCCAGCTCAATATGCTTCTCCATTTCATTTTAACTATCAGCAGAGCAACGAAGGCTCACATATCCATAGGAACATTTTAAAAGGGAAAATTTACTGAAGCATCAGCTTGGATGTTTGTGAACTTTTAATTTTAGGTGTTCACCTTCAGAACTAGATACAACACCATAAACATAGCATTTAGTTTACTTATGGTCTAAATATATTCCCAGCAACTAACCTGTCTAAATTGTCCTTCTGAAACACCATCCCGATAAAAGATAATTCGAGTAGGTTTGAATCGGGTTGACTTATAAAATTGGATGAGCAGTTCCCGGACCATGGAGGCCAAGTCCTGGATGATTTCCTGCCGGGGTCTCTGAACTCTTACCGTGGCACAGTATCTGCTTGGATGGGCATCCATACTACCTACAACCTAGGTTGGAAAAAGTCATAAAAGAGTTAAAATAGTAAAAAATAAACTGTCTTCATTTACATATGTATTTTAATGTAGTCTTACTGTTTATCATAATTTACTTCAAAAGTAATATCAGACAATCCTCAGTAAAGAACAGAATGAAAGACTACAATAGTGTCAAAAGCAATTAGCATTTTTTCTTTTTCCATTTCATGTGTGCATATTCATATTTTGCATATGTTTGGGTACATGTATATGCTTCCCCTACATGTGAGTGTGTGTACATGCAGGAGAGGCAGAGGTTACACAGTTACAGAAAGAACAAGCAGGCAACTTACAATAGTTACAGGAGATTTAAGGGAGTTAGCAGATTTAATAGGTATACTATAAAGAACTTGTATCCCTAAAACCAGAATAATTGATCTTGGCAAAAACTCTCAAACCCAAAGAGCAATAATGAAAGTTGGCTACAAGAAAAATCATTAAAGAACCACAAAGATTAAACACTAACCCCTCACCACCCAAAGCAAAATACAAATCAGTGGCTGGAGAGATGGCTCAGTAGTTAAGAGCATTGACTGTTCTTGTAGAAGACCTGGTTCAGTAACAAACACCCACATGGTGTCTCACAACTGTTAACTCCAATTTTAGGGGACCCAATGCCCCCAGCCTCCATGGGGACTGCCCACATGTAGTACCCAGACACACATGCAGGCAAAACACTCACATACATAAAATAAAAATTAAATCTTAAAAGAGAAAAACCAAATCATCCCAGCAATAAATGGGTCTATAAAATGAACACACAGTTCTGAAGAGAAGAACCCAGGGTCAGAGATAGCTCAGCAGGAAAAGGTACCTGCAGCCAAACCCAGCAGCTGAATTTGATCTTTGGGATCCATATGGTAGGAGAATTATTTCCACATGAATGTGTACTTCTCTCCATAAATAAATGTAATAAAAATATACAAATAGCCAATAAACAAACTTGGAGAAGGGTTCAGCATCCTTAACCTTAAGGGCAATGAAAAATGGTGTGATTCCATTTCACCCTGTCAGAACGGCTAACACCAACAAACAAATGACAATACATGCTGGCTAGAATGTGTTGAAGGAGGAACTGTAGTCATCGTTGATGGTCATGGACACTTGAGTAGCCACAGGTGAAATGAGTTGACAGGTTTTTCAAAACACTGGAAACAGAACTACCATATGACTTAGTTATATCACTTTGGGTACACACCTAGGAACTAACTTAAAGTCAACACAGACCACAAAGATACTTGTATTTCTGTGTTTATGGCTGACTATTCACAATAGCTAGGAAACCACACCGGCTTAGATGTCTTAATCAGATGAATGGATACAGAAAATGGGTTGCAGGAGCCAGTAATCCAAGTTAGGGTGAGTTCCAGGTATGGAACTCAGATTGTCAGGCTTGGTGTAGGAGATAGCAAATACCTGCAGGTTATCTTCTGACCTCTGACTTCCACATTCATGTCCCCCAAATAAATAAATAAATAAATAAATAAATAAATAGAAAATGTGGTACATGTATATACAATGTAATTTTATGCAGATAATAAAGAAAAATGAAATCATGATGTTCAGAAAAATGGATACAATGGAAATCACTATGTTAAGTAAAGTAAGCCAATCTTAGAAAGGCAGATGCCACATGTTCTCTCTCATATAAGGAACCTACATTTTAAATTTTATTTCATATATATGTCATATACTTTAGGGGACTAACTGGGAGAATACAGGGCCCCTAGAGAAGGGAGGGGCTGGAGAGAGCAATGGAGGGGAAGTAGCTGAGAAAAAGAATATAGCACATACGTATGAAGGAGCCATGTTGAAAATATCAAATACCAAATTTTCAAATGTGGAAACTCAAGTGTTTCTTTCAGTGTGGACTTTCGATGAGGCAGACTTGTCTAACAATACTCACAGCAGCAATGGAGGGCTTCTTCCCATCCCCAGCGGGCGGGTGAGTGACATCTGCGCCCAGGAAGATCACTGGTTGCTGGAACACAGAAGGTCTTAAACACATTTTTTTAAAGGGTTAGACAGTTCATTTGCTTCATATGTTTCACATGATTGCAATATAACGGCAAGCCACTGACAGTCCAGAGGACGTCCCCTATAGACAACAGATGGCTTCACAGACCTGAACTGACTAACTCTTGATTTATTTTGTTTTTCAAGACAGGCTTTCTCTGTTTAGCTCCGGATGTCCTGGAATTCACTGTGTAGACCAGGCTGGCCCTAAACTCAGATCTGCCTGTCTATGCCTCTCCCAAGGTCTGGCCTGCGTCACCACACCTGGCCTGACAAATTGTTAATTCATGAATCTACACCTCTCTGACATCTGGTAAGAATGCTTGAAACAGTGGTACTGTGGTTGCAAGAGACAACTGATGCTGATTATTTTTGTAATGGGGACAAAAATGATGTTTCTTCATAGTAGATCATTACATTTTATTCATTTAAAAAATCTGCTTACATTTTAAGTCTATGAGACTTTTAAGGACAAATAGAATCTGCAAGCTTTTGACTTTTAGTTTTAGTCTATTTTACACTTTTCAGAAGGGATTATAGGCATCTACTATTCTCTGGACCAAAGAATAAAATTTGAGTATATATGTAATAATCATAAAGTCCTAGCAATAACTTATATCTTAAAACTTCACCCTTTAAAATCGAAAGGACTGGGCTGAGAGATGGCTCAGCAGTTGTTTACCCAGAGAGAACTGGGTAAATGCTCAGCATCCCACATGGTGGCTCACAACTCTCTGTAATTTCAGTCCTAGGGGAATCCAACCCCTCTTTCTGGCCTCCACAGAGATACATATAAAATAAAACATTTTTAAAAACTATTTCTTAGTTCTTGAATGTGTTGACTAGATTTTCTACCTTATTTATGAAGCTCATTTCCTGTTTAACAAGACCAAGTCTCACTATAGCTGTCCTGGAACTCTGTAGACCAGGCTAATCTCAAACTCACAGAGACTCTGCCTCTGCACTCTGAGATTAAAGAAGTGTGTTTAGCCATTGAGCTATGTCTCTGGCTGCAACAATCTGTTAGCCTTGTGAAATCGTCTATCCAGTTCACAGAAAGAATCACTGAGGTTGCCTCTAATATCTGATAGTAGATAGTTAGGCCTATGTAGAAAAACTAATAGTGAAATAGAACATCTTACCTTTGATGAGGTACAAGAATATTATTGATTCCTCCAAGTTTCACATTGATCTTTAGGCACAAATTTGATAGAGTTTGAGGAGATGTTTTTATGACATTCTTGACTTGCACACACTGTGTGGCCATACCCAAAAGTGTATCTCCTACACGCTTCACTTCCGCTATGGAACAAATGCAAATGACCCAGTCAGAAAAGAAGACACCCAAAACGTGAATTTACTCTCTGACAATAAAGCGATGAAGGATACCCCGAAATATATCAAGGCATATTATAGGGTACCTGAAATTATACCAATACTAAAATAGTGCATTAACTTATAATTTTCTATTGGCTTATTTTTGCATATGAAAAGAATATCTAAGCATATACCTACACAGATACACAAACATAGACAGGATTTAAAATAAAATAGATTTTTTTTAATTAAGAAAAATTATGTGTATGGTGTTTTACCTGCATGTCTGTGTACCACATGTATGTCTGGTGCTTGAAGAGGCCAGAAAGGGCACTATATTCCGTGGAACTGGAGTTACAGATGGTTGAGAGTCATGTGTGGGTGCTGGAAGTTGAACCCAAGTCCTCTGGCAGAGAAGCCAGCACTCTTAATTTCTGAGACATCTCTCTAACCCAAAACATCTTTTTTTAAAAGCAGGCAGAATTGAAAAGTGATCTGTTTATCCTCCACCACTTCTACCTGGATAGGGTGCACAGTTTGGATCAGCTTAGAGGTGGCTAGGGAGGACTATCTTCTGGCAGTGCTCTCCATGGCCTAACTTCTAGTGTTCCAATTTTTGTGGCTGTTGTTGTTTGTCAAAATCTACTGTCCTTTGATTAACTATAAGCCAGATTCCCTAAATCATTGCTTTGAGTCACCTTTCTGTGTATGACGTGTACTGCGTATACTAATAAATGGACTGTTGTTCCCCTGTTAACCTGTCTTTTGTTTGAGTAATTGTTTGTCACAGCTATGACTATTTTTGTGATAAAGGAAATGAAAAATTATAACCCACAAACAGAAAAAAGCTATAGAAAACATACCTAACCCCTTACCATCATTTTATTACATTCCTTTCCTATAATTTTCTTACTTAGTTTAATGCATGTTTAGTCACAGCATTCTTGTGGCTTCCAATCCTATTTTCCAAACTTTAGTTTGAAGGTGAAGCATTATAGCATAAGAGGGTCTCCCTTTCCTTTCTCTACCATAAAGGTAATCTAAGTCTAAATTGTACCATTGTACCACAGATTGCAGTGTGTGTGTGTGTGTGTGTGTGTGTGTGTGTGTGTGTGTGTGTGTGTGAATATGTGTAGAATTGAAAGGACAACCTCAAGTGTCATTCTTCAGGTGCCTTCCACCTTTTGTTTAAAATAGGGTCTCTCATTGGCCTGGAACTTTGACAAGGAGCTTAGGCCAGATGATAAGTAAGCTTCAGGGCTCTGCCTGTCTCTGTCTTCTAACTCACTATTGCTGGATTACAAGTGTGCATGCACCATCATGCTTGGTTTTTTACATAGGTTCTGGGAATCCAAACTCAGGTCATCATGCTTTATTGACTGAACCATCTCTCCAGGTCCAACATTACTTTTTATATACAAAAATACATGGAAAATATTTTAAAATTAAAACTGAGAATGTACTATACATCTGTTTTGCAAATTGTCATTTTCACTTAGAACAGTATGGTTCTGAGCCTCAACTTACAGGGTGTTCCTATTATAATGACATCAGTTAATATTCTTAAGTGGCATAATATATATGCAGATACATTTGTAGGTGGTGTCTTGGTTAGTCTTCTCTTGCTGTGAAGAGACACAGCAACTCTTATAAAGGAAAGCATTTAATTGGGGCTTGTTTATATTTCTATATATGGATCCACAGGCAGCAGGAAGAGAAAGACACTGGGCCTGGCTTGAGCTTTTGAAACCTCAAAGCCCATCCCCAGTGACACACTTCCTCCAAGGCCACACCTCCTAATCTTTCTTAAGTAGTGCCACTCCCTGATAACTAAGCATTTAAATATATGAGCCTACGGGGGTCATTCTTATTCAAACCCATTTCCTGGCTCCCAAAGGCTTGTAGACATTTGTAGACATATCATAATATAAAAAAAATGTATTTAGTCCAACTTCAAAAATCCCCACAGTCTACGACAGTATCAACAATGTTTAAAAGTTCAAAGTCTTTTCTGAGACTCATGGCAGTTTCTTATCTGTAATCCCCTATAGAAATAAAAAATCAAAAGCAGATCACATATTTCCAACATACAGTGGCACAGAATACACATTACCATTCCAAAAGTGAGGAGAGGGAGCATAGTGAGGAAATACTGGGCCCAAAGCAAGACTGAAACCAGTTGGGCAAACTCCAAACTCTGCATCTCTATTGTTATGCCCAAAGTCAGGATTCCCAAATTACCACCACAAGACCAAATCTGATGCAAAAGCAAAGAGTCTATTACGACGAGTTAACTGGGGTTGTAATACACTTATCATTCTTGGGCAGGTTCCACTTGCTGTTAGCAGCTCTCCTTTGCAGGTGTCCCATGACTCTGGAATCTCCAATATCTTGGGGTCTCCAGTACAATCCATGTTTCCCCTTCACAGCTTCACACTCTGACACACACCTGGCCTCAGCAGCTTTCCTTAGCAGCAGAGAGGGAGATTCTATAACTCCTTTCTGATAACCTCGACTCTAAAGCCAGAACCACATGGCAAAAGCTGCCAAGTTCTGCTTCTTGTCGTGGCTGAAGTTGGCCCCCTCCTTCAAATACATTTCTACCAGTTTTCTTTTTTGATGGCTTTCTCTCCTGTGTAAGTTTTTCTTTAATTCCTTTTCACAATTTGGAAGCTTAGCTGGGTGGGGTCTTGCCCTGAGTCACCCTACCCTTTATTCCATTTAGCTTCAGACTTTTCTTACAACTTTTTATCACCTTGAACACTGAACTCAGCTCCAGCAATACATTTTCTGGTGCTCCTGTCCTCCTCAAACTGCACATTTTGTGTTTTTATTTTCCTAGCTTGATCAATCTGCATAAGAATGACCACTAATAACCAAGCGACACAGTCAATATCAGGCTGTCTTGAAATCTCTGCTGTCTTGAAATCTCTGCTAATGCCATTCATTAAAAACTCTTCAGTTTAGACTCAGGCAGATTTTTTTTGGACAAGGACAAAAATGCAGCCACATTCTTTACCAAAATATCAGAGTGGTCTCTAGGCCACTTACTAATAATATTCATCTCCTCTGAAATTTCTTGAGCTTGGCCCCTACAATTCAAATCACCCTCAGCACTGTCTTCCATGCACCTGCTCGCATAGCCCATTAAGCGCCACTTAAAGCATTCCATTGCTTTCCTAATCCAACAAGCAACATGATCAGGCTGTCACTTGGGAAGTAAAAGCAAGAAGATCAGAAGTTCCAGGTTCATCTTCAGCTACGTAGGGAGTTCAAGGCCAGGCTGGGCTAGAAACTCTGCCTTTAAAAAATGCTCATAATTAATTAAAAAAAAAAAAGACTAGAAAAAAATTGCCTTCATTGAACCAATGTTAACTTTTTTTCTAATGATAAGCTAGTATTTATTGTTTCCATTTACTGTGTTCTATTTATTTTAATTTTAGTATATTAGTGATACTCAAAAACAATTTTTATGTGGCCAAATTTTTTTTTTTCTGTTTTCTTTTATCTTTTTTTTGCTTTTTGTGATGGTTGGAACAAACTCATAACCAAGCACTTGCCCACAGAGCTTCAGGCCCTTCTGATATTTTTTCCTTTTTTAAAAAAATTATTTTTATTTTATATTTGTGAGTGTTTTGGCAACATGGATGTCTTTGCACCACATGTATACCTGATGCCCATGGAGACCAGAAGAGGGCGGAGATCCCCTGGAAATGGAGTTACAGAGTTAGCTGCCTTGTAGGTGCGGGGAATTGAAACTGGGTTCTCGGGAAGTGCTCTTAACCACAAACCACTGTACTCCTTCCCTGCTCTTTCTTTTTTTGGGGCAGGAGGAATGTGTAGGTGTTCATGCATGTATGCACGTGTGTACGCACATGTCTGTGCATGTGTCCATTGGAACATGGAGGCCAGAAGTTGATAAAAGGTGTCTTCTTCAGTCACTTTTCCCTTTGTTTTACTAGATGGGGTCTCTCGTTGAATGGGGAGCTCACACTGGCTAGATGGCTGGCCAGCAAGCCCAGACATTCCTGTTTCTGCCTCTCCTGAGCAGGGATTACAGGTGAACGCTGCTGTGCCTGACTTTTTTATTTGGGTTCTTGGGGATCAAAATCATACTTGCACAGCAAGCACTTCACACTGATCGAACTGTCTCCCTACCCTCACTTCTATCATTTCTAAGGTGAAATTCTTCTATTACATTCGATGGTTTACAAGTTATGTTTTCCTCAATTTTTCCAAGAATCAAGGAATTACATTTATTTTACTAATTTCACAAAACTTTGCTTTGTACATAGTCATATAAGGTTATTATAGGTTCTCTCAGTTCCATAGGTGAAGAAAGTAAAGCTTACTACAGTTAGGTAATTATAGCATGAATTCTAATCAATATTAATAATAAAAAACCCAGAGTCAGATATTAATTGGGGGAAGATGAAAGATCAGAGAAGCTATACAGCCAGCCACTAGTTCTCACCTCTACTGAACCCTCAGCCCAAAGGGTAGATCCTGTCTCTAGGAATCCTCTGACTGAATGCATCCACAGACTGAATGCCTAGACGGCATCTGTCTCCTGTCTCCTCCTGCCTTATATTCCCCTCTCCATCCAGCCATATCCTTTCCTGTCTCCACCTCTCTAGTGCTGGGATTAAATGCATGTCACTCACCCCAAGTGCTGGGATAACCGTTGTGTGAGTTCTGTTTCTCTTTTAGACTGGATCAATTTTATGTAGCCCAGGGTGGCCTTGAACTCACAGAAATTTGTTTGCCTCTGTCTCCTGAGTACTAGGATTCTGCACTCTGAACTTTAGGTAAGCTTTATTGTTACAGCATAAACAAAATATCACATCACAGAGGTAGTACAAGCTGCACTCTATGAACAATGAGCAATACAGTCATATCTCAAGAATCTGTGTTTTTAACCTACTACCTTATCCTGCTACTCAAGTTACTCAAAGGCCATTTTATTACACAATTCTTCACATAACCATTGCTTGTGATGTCTCTTTTAGGTACTAAAGTTCATTTCCCAGAGTCTCCTTTTCTACTACTTAGCTTACAGACTTTGCCTTAAAGTAATAATATATGGTTTTAAATACCGTGGTATAAATATATTTTATTATTTGAAAATTTTAGGCTATCTAATTCTAAATACAATGTTAAGTCACTGAGGACCAAAATGCAAAGCCAGCCACACTAGTTAGCTATAGGCTAGTGTGTGTGGACTCATGGTATACACCTTTAATCCTAGGACTCAGGAGAAAGAGGCAGACATATTTGTTAGTTCAAGGACACACTGAGCTATGTGAAACTGATCCAGTCCTAAAGAGAAACAGCTCACACAAAGGAGATCTCAGTACTTGGTATCACATGCCTTTAATCCCAGCTCTAGAGGGGTATATAAAAGACAGGGGCTCAGTGTCTCAGGCTGCATTCTGAGATTTAGTCTCCAGGCACACTGAGGAGAGGTAGCAGTCTGAGGCTTCCAGGAGAGCTTGTGGAGACAGGATCACCTCTTTCAGCTTGAGGTAGAGGGAAGAGCTAGTGGCCAGCTGCTTTGCTTCTCTGATCTTCAGCTTGAAGCTTGAACCCCAATATCAGTCTCTGGGTTTTTATTTTTCATGTTACAGAGCTACACTCTCACTCCTGAAAAATGCAGTTGTAAAATGTCCTCACCATACACAGGCGTCTTCCCTGGCAGGATGACGATAATGAGCTGCAGTCCTGAGTAGGTGTTCTTTAGATGCCGGAACATGGGCTCCACGCTGTCTGCTCCCTGTGCGTATTTGCAGAAGCATGGCTGGCCTTGGATAGGCATCCCTGCATCTTTGGAAATCTTTCGAAGCTGGTCCGTGAAACCTCTAAACAAGGTGAAACCACTAAATAAGAAACCTTTGTCTAGACTTCAAAATGTATCTTTTGTATGTCTAGTATTAAGGAATGAATGCATGGTCTTGTGTGTTTACTCTGCACTGACCGGTATCTCCAGCTCCAAACCTACAACACAGTAACGAAAAGTTTAAGAAAGAAATAGAGGATGGGTATGGTGGCATAGACCTTTAATAATTTTAGCACTTGGGAGGCAGAGGCAGTGAGTTTGAGGCCAGCCTGCTCTGCAAAGCAAATCCAGCACAGCCAGGACTACATGGAGAAACCCTGTCTGGAAAAACCAGGAAACAAGGGGGGGGGGGGGAGGAAAGAAGGATGAAAGGAAGAAAGGAAGGGAGAAAGAGGAAGGTAGGGAGGATGAAGCATAGATTGTTTTGTGTGCTTGCTCTATATATAAAAGGTTACCAGATTACTAATGTTTAAAGGCAACAAAGGGGCCAGTCACCTATAGTAATCTCCCTTGATCCATTGGGGCTATGCAAAAAGAGTCCCTAATGGGGTTGGGGAGACAGTTTGGTTGGTAAAAGGTTTGCTGTACATGCCTGTACTATAGGCACTGAGGAGGCAAAGACTGGAGGCTCCCTGTGGTTTGCTGACCAGCCAGTCTAATTGAATTAATGAATTCCATATTCAGGAAGGCGAGATGGAAGGCAATTGAGGAAGACTCCTGAAATCAACTTCTGGCCTCAACAAGAATGCACATATATGTACACAAACACATATATATATACATGTGTACACACATATATATTCACATATAAGACCCCCACTGGATGTTTGAAACTGAGAATGTTACTAGACCCTATACTTTAATGCCTTTTTGATCTTAACCAGTGACTATAATTTTTGAAGTCTCAGGAATAACAAATAAATTTACACACTTATTCCTTTATAATTTCTTTCCTTCCCCCCCTTCCCTTCCCTTCCCCCCCCCCTTTTTTTGAGACAAGATTTCTGTGTATTGCTTTGGAGCCTGTCCTGGAACTAGCTCTTGTAGACCAGGCTGGACTCAAACTCACAGATATCTGCCTGCCTCTGCCTCCCGAGTGCCGTGAGCCACCAACGCCCGACTAAAATACTCATTCTTAACATATATATTTGAAAATGTAGCGTGAAATTTTTTTTTCCCTATCAAGTTGACAACTTTTGCCTTTTTTGCTTAAATAATTCAATGAGTTCTAGGCCAATGAGAGGCCCTGTTAAAAAGGAAGTGGATAATGCCTGACGAATGATATCTCAGGCTAACCTCTGGCCTGTACATGCACAAACAATGCATACCCACATATACTTGCACATGCGTGGGTTCACACAAAATATTTTTGAGACTGGGTCTTGCTAACTTATGGTTCTCCTGCCTCAGCATCACATGTAACTGGAATGACAGGTGGTTTCAGCTGGATGGAAGAAATAGTTTTAAAGGTTCATTGGTTAAATATACTCCATATAGAGGGACATTTGTTAGACTATGAGACAAATAATTTAAAATTGGAATTCAGGGCTAGGGGTGTAGTTCAGTAATATGGCTTATTGGATATACAAGGTTCTGGGTTCACCCCTAGTTCCAACAAAAAATATACATATATAAATTTTTTTTTTTTTTTTTGGTAAATTCCAAATACAAAAGGTCCCCAAACCAAACCAATGCAATAGCTTACTTCAGTATTTCTTCTCTGCACTGCCTCTGTGTGGCAAAGCAAGCTATTGCCCACATTTTGATTTCAACTCCTGTGTGGAATTGTTTTCCTCGCATGTCCCACACACCATGGCTCGGTGTTGCCACTGTCCGGTTCTGTAAGAGAAATAACAGGACAGAAAAACAAAAACTTTACCAGACAATGCACTTCGGTGAGCTCAAGTAAGCATTTCAATTGCTGAGCTGATACATTCTTAATACTCTATGTGGAGCAGACTGCTCTAAATTAATATTTATACTGTGAAAGCCCAAGAGGCCAGCAAGATGGTTCAGCAAATAAAGGCAGCTGATGTCCTGAAGCCTGATGATCTCAGTTTGACACACCCACCACACACAGTAATTCATATGGCAGAAGAAGACCCAACTCCCTCAAGTTATCCTCTGACTTCCACACGTGACCCCTCCACAATAAATAAGTCAATGTAAAAAAAAAATTATGCTGAAACTCAAGTAAAGAAATCCACCTTGAAACAAATAAAACACCTGATGCACTGTTGGAATAATAAAACAGTTAAGTTCAAGCTTCCAGTACCGTTCTCTCCATGCTTAGCAAATTACACATGTATGTCTGATTAAAACATAGCTGGCAGGCTTTACCCGTCCTCCATACTGGAGCATAGGCGCTGGAAGTACACGTCCGGTTACATGAGCCATTTCATCCCGCACTTTAAATTGAAACTCCTGGACGAATGGATCTGTTTCATAGTTTGCACTTCTTACCTAGCAACAGAAAAGATTTGTCATTATTCTCAGACTCTCCCTGAACTGCTTGCTTCACTTGCTAGAACCTCCTCTTTACCTTTCACTACGCTAACCATGTAGTTTGTAATAAGAAGAACCACCACTGCTCTGACTATAGAGCAGAGAATATTATCCTGAAAATTGTGGGAAGTCTATCAACAACTAGGTAATTTATTCAAAATGTGAATGTAGATATTAGGTTGAATAATACACTTTAATTATTTGTGACCGATGGAAATGATAATTTTAAATAATTAAATAATTTCAGAGAGAGAAATACTTCTCTAAAATGGGATAAGAATGATTGATTGGGCTTTGGTGGCACACACCTTTAATCCCAGCACTTGAGAGGCAGAGGCAGGCGGATCTCTGTGAGTTTGAGGTGTCACTGTCTCTTACAGGTTTTAGGAGACTTTTAAAACTGTATTATAATATAATTAGACAAAAGTCTAGAGTGGGAATCAACCTTTATTTTTCCTAACTGGACAAAATGTAATAACTACGATTCACTTTTTATAGAATTATAAGGCAAAGGGGTAATTGTTATTAGCTTACAAAATGGATACTTTTGTGCCTGTGTGAATGTCTGTATGTATGTATATATGAGCATTCTGTGCCTGCTTGGTGTCTGTAGAGGCCAGAAGGGTGTTGGATTCCTGGAACTGGAGTTACAAGCAATTATGAGCCGCCATGTGGGTGCCAGGAACCAAACCTGTGTCCTCTGTAGTATCAGCAAGTGCTTAACTGGCTGGGCCATCCCTCCAGCCCAGGGAGAATTTCTCATCTATTTTTTGTTTGGTTTTTGAGAATGAACAAATTTATTTGGGACATTTGCTACAGGATCTGCAGCCAATTTTCCCCTCTTATGTAATGATTACAGCTAAGACCACATGCAGTTGGGAAGATGGGAGTGCTGAATGGGATCTTGGAGGGCCTTCCATACCCCTATACTGACATAACTACTAGTGAGTTCTGTAGATAATCACAGCCTTGCTACACTAGTTTTGGAAAAAAGTACAGTTCACAATGTAAGACTTGGGCTTCTAGAATTAGAAGTGTGCAACAACCCAGAACCAGAATCCTTGTGTAGGTGGCTCAGCAGGCTATTGTTAGGTAACAGTGGGCATACCTGTGAGGCCGGTGACCTAGAGCTGTCTGCCTCTGTCCAGGCAGCCTTGGGACACGGAACTGGGCTATGCTTTCTCCTGGCATATCTGGGCATTCTTCCCAAGGCCACATGACAATCAGCTTTAGTCACTCATCTTCCTGCAATCTCCTCTCTGCATAAATCTCTCTTTTACCTCACAGTGAGCATGTGCAAGGCCATCCATCAGAGGCTTGGGCCAGCAACAGCTAGGACAGAGGTGGTCTCACAGCTAATTTTCAAGGAGTTGACAGGCACTGCAGAAATGTTCATAGTTCAGAACACTAAGCACAGACATAGCCTCTACTGAAGTACATGGAACAGATATCTTTAAGGTCTCTCAGGACAGTGTATGCTGGATAGGTTTCTGCCAACTTGACACAAGCTAGAGTTATCTGAAAGGAGGGAACCACAATTCTGTTAGATTGGGCTGGAGGACATTTTCTTAATTAGTAATCGATGAAGGAGGGCCTAGCCCATAGTGCTCCTGAGTTCTATAAGAAAGCAGGCTGAGCAAGCCATAGGGAGCAAGTCAGTAAGCAGCACCCTCTCCAGGTCCTCTGTATCAGCTCTTGCCTCCAGGTTCCTGCCCTGCTGGAGTCCTTGTCCTGACTTCCTTTGATGACAAATAGTGAGGAGGAAGTATAAGCCAAATGAATCCTCCCCCACCTCCGCCCCTCCCCAAGGTGCTTTGGTCATGGTGTTTTATCACAGAAATAGCAACTCTAAAATACAGTGTTTGGTTTTTACTCTTAGGTAGCTACAGCTGATCTCAAACTCAAATTTGTAATATGGCTGAAGCTGATCTTGAACTAATCTTCCAGTTTCTGCTTCCCGAGTGCTGGGATTGCACACATGTGCTACCACATTGGTTTTATATGATGCTGAGGACTGAAACCAGGGCCTTTTCCACGCTAGGCAACATTTAGTCCTTCAACTGTGCATTTGACAGATTATCAAACTATTTTAAATTTCTGTTTACCAGGGCAACAGAAACTGTTTCAAAAACAAAACATGTAAAGTAGTATTAAAACCTGAGCAAATGCTGGGTGTGGTGGCACATGATTTTAATCCCAGCACTTGGGAGGCAGAGGCACTTTGAGTTCAAGGTCAGCCTTGTCTACAAAGCAAGTTCCAGGACAGCCAGGACTGTTACATAGGGAAACCCTGTCTTGAAAAACCAAACCAAACCAACCAAACAAACAAAAAAAACCCAAAACCCAAAACAAAACAAAAACAACAACAGCAACAAAAAAAAACTTCTGAAAGTGCTAGTAAATTGTTTTGGGGAATATATTTATATTTATTGACTCCACATCCCTTTGTTTGCCTAGCTAGTTTAAATGATGTTCAGGGGAGAGTGACACCAGATTCAGGAATTCCTCAAAAAACAAAACAAAACAAAACAATTCACCCCATTTTGAGTATTCAATCAATAATAAGAATAAATACAATTTTATTTAAAATTTATGTGCATTTGCGTGTGTGTGTGTGTGTGTGTGTGTGTGTGTGTGCGCGCCCGTGTCCAGTGTGTATCCAGGTGGGCACGGGGTCCAGGAAATACTGTCAGATTCCCTATGCTAGAATCATGGGCACTTGTGAGCCTCCTGATGTATGTCCTCTCCCAAAGCAGCAAATGTTCTTAACCATCTGCCATCTCTCCAGTCTTAATCTATTTACTTATATTCAGGTTTTAGAAATTAACAAATAATACTGTATTTTTTAACTTTAAAATATTTTATCATGAACGTAATGAATGATCTTCATAGGGAAATGGGAAAGAAGAGTTGATGAGATGGCTTGGTGAGTACAGCTCCTGCCTCCAAGCTCGATGACCTGAGTTTAGCCCCTGACCACTGGGATCACATGGATGAAGAAGAGAAATGACTCTAGCAAGGACCTTTTCAGGCACCGAATACCGAATACAAAAATGATAAATCAAAATTAAAAAATAAAGAAGGAAAATAAGCCAAGTGGTGATGGCATACTCCTCTAATCCCAGCATGCAGGAAGCAGAGGCAGGTGGATCTCTGAGTTCCAGGCCAGCCTGGCCTACAGAGTGAGTTCCAGGACAGCCAGGGGTATACAGAGAAGCCCTGTCTCAAAAAAATAAATAAATAAATAAATAAAATAAACAATAGGAAGAAAGAAAATAAATGTCACTTATAATTCTATTATCCCAAAACATCATTTTTAATATGTTGATACAAATCTACCATATCACTTCTGATTATTAATATAATTAAAACAATATAATTGTTTTCATGTAATGTGTAACATAAACATTTCCTATGTTGCTGCAATCTCTCAATGGCAGTAATTTTATTAATTTATCTGCAGAGTGACTGTATAACAGAAGTGTCTGGAGTTGGGAAGTGGTAAGTCCCAGAAAGAATCGGTATACTTAGTCAACTGGAACTGTGCTGTCTGCTGGCTTCAGGACTCATAGCTAACTTTGGAAGTCCTCCTTAGGCTCTACAGCATCCCTGTGGCCACCTCAAGGGTAACATGCCCAGGAGACACTATATCTTTGCCCTTCTGACTATCCTCAATCCCACAGTAAGACAAGTGAAATTAATATGGTTCTGGTGATGGGTTCTGTCTCTTTCCCCAGAGCTCCTAGGCTTGGAAAATGAAGACATGACTGTACCCCCAGCCTTGACGTTGGCAGTTTCCTCAGCATCAACGGGATTGGACAAGCTGCTGTTTGCTGACTGCAGTCCACAGGAAGGCATGAAGTGTCACTGAGCTCCCAGAGGATATGCTATACTCAGTTCCTCAGGGTATCTCTCACATTTCCCTGCGCTCAGGGTTTCCTGGGAGAACTTAGCAATGCTCAGGCTGGTGAGTAGGACATCTTCTCTGTATTTCTTCTTCCATCTTTTCTTATTTTTGGAGTGTAGCGGTTTGAAAGAAAATGGCACTCATAGGGAGTGGCACTATTAGGAGGTAGAGTCTTGTTGGAAGAAGTGTGCACTGTAGAGGCAGGCTTTGAAGTCTTATATATGCTCAAGCCACGCCAGTGAGACAGACCATTTCCTGTTGCCTGCCTACCAAGATGCAGGTATTTCAGCTCCAGCACCGTGTCTGCCTGATGCCACCATGCTGCACCATGATGACAATGGACTGTATCTCTGAAAATGTAAGTCACTCCAGTTAAATGTTTTTCCTTTGTATGAGATGCTAGGTCAGCTAGGCAGTGGTGGTGTATGCTTTTAGTACCAGCACCTGGGAGGCAGAGACAGGCAGATCTTTGTGAGTTTGAGACCAGCTCTGGTCTACAAAGTGAGATCCAGGACAGGCTCCAAAGCTACAGAGAAACACTGTCTCGAAAAACAAAAACAAAATCCCAAACAAACAAAGAGTTGCTGTGATCATGGTGTTTCTTTACAGCAATAGAAAAGCTAACTAAGACATAGAGACAGGGTCTCTCTACATAGTCCTAGCTATCCTGGAGCTTGAAGCTATGTAGAGCAGGCTGGCCTTTAACTCAAGAGAGATCCTCTTGCTTCTGCCTCTTGAGGGCTGGGATTAAAGGATGCTCTACCACTCACCGCCTTCTTTGTATTTCTTTTGCAATAGTAATCTCCATGGTTTGCTTTTGGGATGGAGAAGTTGCCAATGTATGGAAAAACTTGCATTTTCCATTCTGGTAGGATGTAACATTTCTAGCCATGGTATATCAATCAGCAAGATGGTTTTCCCTTCCTGGAACACCAGTTGAGGGGTCTGGACCAATTGACAGGTTTTTTTGTTTTTTGTTTTTGGTTTTTTTTTTGTTGTTGTTGTTTTGTTTTTTTGCCAAGAGCCTTGTAAAATCCACTATGTATTTTTATTGGGCACATGACGTTTTGAAGTATATATAAACTGTGGAGTAATAATGTAAATTTTATCAAGTGATACTAGCTTCCTGTTCCTCACTGCTACAAGACATGGGGACCCCTGCATTATTGAAACTAGTTTGTTGTTGAGACGGGTTCTTATTCTGTAGCCTAGGCTGGGTTGGCAATTCTCCTGTCTCAGCCTCCCAAGTTCTGGGATTACAAGTTTGTTTGTTTGTAGATAAGACTGTTTATGTAGCCCAGAAAGACTCAGAATAGACTGACTGTTATTGTTATAATTTTAGTATTTCTCATTATAATACTTTGATGTTTCCCCTTTGCCCTTCTTTTAGGTGAAGGTTTGGTTAACTTTTGATGAGTCTGTTCCATAGATTTAAATGGTCGAGGGTTATATTAGGAACCAAACCCTTCTCATATAACTTACTAATGTTACCCTTCTCCCACACCATAGATTACTCCATGGTACCTGTCCTCCTTCTTCTTGAGACAAGGTCTCACTGTGTAGTTCTGGCTGACCTGGAACTCTCTCTGTAGACCAAGCTGGCAATGAACTCACAGAGATCCACCTGCCTCTGCCTCCCAAGTGCTGGGATTAAAGCCACTACCCCTGGTTCCATGATCTCTTAATTCTGACAGTTCATGAAATGGTAATATGGCATCAGCTGGTAAGGACATGGTTTTTAAGTAGCTCACTCTAATACACTTTTAATATTTCTAGAGTGTACTAACCAATCTGCTAATTTCCTCTTGTCTATCTGGTGCAGATCTTGCTGTTGCCTTAATCATAGTGGAAGTCTGATTGTCAGTTAGTTTCTTGATACACCGTTGTCCCGCCACAATATTGCAGACCTAGAAATAACACAGTTTATACAATATATATATTTTTGTTAGAATTCACTCACTTGATGCCAATCGCATGTTAAACATAAATTTAAAATCTAATTTATTTAACCACTTCTTTTTACTATCATGTCAAGTAAAAAAAATAGAGAACAAACCACACATGGTCACGTGATTATAATTAGGTAAACAGGATGAAAAGACTGAAAGGAGCATAGTACGATGCTAACAATGGTGGAACTATGGGTGAACTTTTTTCATTCTGTTTGGCTAGTTTTATGTCCACTTTATGTAAGCTAGAGTCATCAAGGGAGGGGACCTCAGTTAAGGAAGTGCCTCCATAAGATCAGGCTGTGGGGCATTAATTAGTGATTGATGGGGGAGGGCCCAGCCCATTGTGGGTGGTGCCAACCCTGGGCTGGTGGGCCTGGGTTCTATAAAAAAGTAGGCTGAGCAAGCCATGGGGAGCAAGCCAGTAAGCAGCAGCGCCCTCCATTGCTTCTGCAGCAGCTCCTGCCTCTAGGTTCCTGCCCTGCTTGAGTTCCTGTCCTGACTCCTTTGATGATGAGCACTGAGGTGGAAATGCACACCTCTCCTCCCCTTTCCTCCCCAAGCTGATGCCAGTCATGATGCTCTATCACAGCGACAGGCACTTCGACTGACACACATACTATTTTATTTAATGAAATTTTAGAAACATTAGAATTTAAAAATTGTTCAAATTCCAAAATAAATGTGAGACTCAGATAAAAAGATCCCAAAAGAATGATGAACAGGGACAGGGAAGTGACTCCGCAGGTCGAATACTTGCTGCATAGGGACCGGAGTTCAGATCCCTAGCACTAATATAAAAAGTGAGGCATAGTAGTGTATGCCTGTAATCTCAGTGCTGGCAGGGAGAGAAAGGGGAGCAGGAGGCAGAGAAACAGATCCTGGAGGCTCGATGGCCAGCTAGTCCAGCTTGAACAGTAAGTTCCAGATTCAATGATACAGATAGATAGCAATAGAGGAAGACTCTTGTCCTCCTGTGGCCTACGCACATGCATGCACGCACGCACGCACGCGCACGCACACAGAGAAAGATGAACAGAAGCTAGTCATAAGCAGTGGAAAGACATTACTTCCAACGGCAGGTACGTATGCTTCTGCTCCTGCCCCACTTGCAGACAGGGAAGGTGAGGGTACTTCAGCTGAAGAGCATACTTTTCTCTGAAATACTGAGCTACAGTTCTCTCCACAGTCTGGCCATTTTCTAACTGTAAAGGAAAGCTGCAAGAAAGAAGAGCTGCATGAACAGATCTGATCCTGTTATGAGGTAGCAAACTACCAACCCCTAACTCAGAGTAAGCTGCTTCATAGCACTGCTGTGGGAAACACCAGCTTTTCTTACGTTTGATGGCTGGCAGGCCTCCTTGTAACATTACAAACACGGTATTTCCGTCTCATTGCTCCACAATGAGTCACTTCAACCTTCAGACCTGTTCCCAACAAGAAAAGTGAAGGTTATAGAAATTCCATGAAAAATACTTACCCTGTCTGTTCACTACTATAAAACCTCAGTTCTGAGCAGGCACAAAATCTTGACACGAGCAATGTGGTATCAGAAAGTTTTATATATAACATTGCTAAAAACTGTTATAATAATGCCAGACTTTTTATTACCAAATATTTTTCTTACTCTATCAAGCTCTTTATGTGAAAAAAGAAAATGCTATAATTTACTAAGCCCAAAGATGAAGGGACAAAATTTCTCCACTGGAAAAAAAGCATTTGTAATAAAAAAGAGTTTATAATAAACTCACGAATGAGAGCACAAGTATTTAAATAGCCTCTCATCGCACAGTGACTGAAGATCAGAGTTTCATGAAGTTCAAGAAGGAAGTCCTTCATAGGTCAATGAAGTAGGTGGAAAGAATCTGGTCTTTTATCAGAACTAGACTGACAGTTTTATTAACTATTTTTCTTAATTTATTAATTTTCCCTTAAGTGTGGCTTCTAGAATGGAAGCTAAAAAATTGATAATTCTTAAAATATTTGTGTGTGTGTGTGTGTGTGCGCATGCGCGCGCACACTAATGCACAAATGGATGTACAGGTCAGAGGACCACTTGCAGGAACTGGTTCTTTTCTTTCACCATATGGGTTCTAGGGATAAAACTCAGGTTGCCAAGCTTGTCAGCAAGTGAATTTGCCAAATGAGCCATCTTGTCAATCCTCCAAATAATTCTTCTGTATTTTTTTGAAATAGGGTCTGTCTATGTAACCCTGGATATGCTAGAACTTGTTATGTAGACCAGGCTGGCCTAGAACTCACAAAGACCCGACCCCTTTGAGAATCTAATGAAAGAAATAAACTCTCAGGAAAATAGACACATAATTTAGCAAGTAATTTTTTAAAAAAGATTTATTTATTTTATGTGCACTGATGTTTTGCCTGAGTGTATGTCTGTGTGAGGGTGTTGGATCCTCTGAAACTGGAGTTACAAACAGTTGTTAGCTGCCAATTGAACCTAGGTCCCCTGGAAGAGCAACCACTGCTTTTAATCACTGAGGCACCTCTCTAGTCAAGAATTTTAAATATTTTTAGGTGTCTGAAGTCCATCTATGGATTTTAGTGATTCAAGAATTCTAGGCCAATTCTAGAAAGTAAAGAAATGGGCTTTAACTCTCAGCTGAAGAAGAGAAAATCTGTTTGTTTATTTATTTATTTTTTAAGGTACCCAGGGCCTTGTGTATACCAGGCAAGTGCCCTACCACTGATATATATATATATATATATATATCCTTTACCCTTTTCATTTTAAGACAGGGTCTTGCTGAGTTGCTCACACTAGCCTTGAGTTTATCTTCCTTCCTCAGCCTCCCAAATCATAGGATTACAGAGGTATCTCTCTATGCATGGAATATCAGCTGACAATCTTCAGGAAGTTTCTTGTTTCTATTTTTATTTGGGGGTGGGGGAGGGTGGAAACAGCAGTCTCTACGTAGTCCTGACTGTCCTGAAACTCTCTATGTAGACCAGGCTGCACTTGAACTCACGGCCTTCCTAGTGTGGGGATTAAAGGCATGTGCCATCATTCCCAGCAGGGATTTTCTGAAGTAGTGCTGAGAAACAGAATGTCCCGAGATGATGTTAAATTTGTGCTAATGTGGCAATCATTGGGAATATGTTAACTGGTTATAGAAAATGCAGCTTATGTGCCTGATAAAGTGAAAGTTTAATTTTAATTAAGTTAATTATACAAACTCTCAGCTGCCATATTGGCCAATGTAGTAACCCAGAAGTTAACAATATAATATAAAAAAAGTTAACATATAATAGCTACTCTTCACAGAAAAACTGGTTCATTTTTAAAGTCTGGCCTAGCTCTGAAGAGTGAGTCTAGAAGGGTACAAATGGAGGAGTTTTAGTTTCTGAACAGAAATTAGTTATTACTTTAAGTAATTTCACTTTTATATTTGTAATCCCTATAGCGCAGTAATTCTCATCTGAATATGATTTTGCTCATCTCTGACCCTGGGACATGGGATAGTGCCTGGAGAAACTGTGTGTGTGTGTGTGTGTGTGTGTGTGTGTGTGTGTGTGTGTGTGTTGCAGTGAGCAAATCCAGGGCTGTGGCACACATTAGGCAAGTGCTTCACCACGAGGTACACTCCCAGCCTCAGGAAGACTTCTGTGACTCTTAAAACTAGGTGATATCATTGGCAGGTGGTGAGTAGAGGCTGGACACTTCCAAATATTCTAGGAAGTGCAGAATTGTACCTCCAAATTCAGCAAATTATCCAGTATAAAATGTCAAGAGAACCCTACCACAGTGTAATTTGTTTTCTTACCTTAACATAAAGTACACTCAGAGCAAATGATATTTTGATAGAACAGCACAAATTAGAATTGCAAATAGTTTTCCTTTAAAAGTATTCTTAATAAAAATTAAATCACTGAGAAGTAATTTTTCATTATAATTATATTTCTAAAATTAAAATTTCAAATGTTTATTATGTTATTATAAAGGAGGCCAGAAAACACAAAGGCCTTATGGAATCAGCAATAATATGAAATAAGCAACATAAAAATATTATGTTTAGGGGAAAAACAAAATAAGTTTCTGTTATTTGAGCCAGTTAACTATTTATTTTCAAGTTTTCTCCATATTTAAAAAACATAGTTATTCTTTTCTTCTAGTCAGGGTTTCTCTGTGTAGCTTTGGAGCCTGTCCTGGAACTTGCACTGTAGAGCAGGCTGGCCTTGAATTTACAGAGATCTGCCTGCTTCTGCCTCCCAAGTGCTGGGATTAAAGACATGTGCCACCACTGCCCAGCTTAAATAAATAAGGTTGTACTTGCTTATAAAACATGTTTTTACTAAAAGTAAATTAGTGCTTTTTATATACATAAATTATCATACATTTCCCCAATATTCCTGCTGTGTAAGTTCCAAGAATTATTGTTTAAAAAAAAACCCACTCAAAGTTATTACTAACTGGTTGGAAGTAAGTTTAACTAGAATATAATCAATATGCTAAAATTTATATTAATTATGACATAATTTATGGCACTGCTTAGCAATATCATCAAACTCCTTATGTAAGTTAAATCTTAAACCTAAACATCACTCAACACAAAACTCTTTTTTTTTTTTTTTTTTTTTTTTTTTTGAGTTCATGTACTTTAAAGACTCCCCTTTTTCAAAAAAGTCTTCTTGACTTTGAATGGAGGAAAAAATATACTAGTTTATTAATTAGATACAACCCAGATTTTCTACCCCAAATTTAAGATCATAGGTACCTAACAAAAAGTCAAAATTATAAAGAATGGAATAGATAATTCTCTGCCCAGGTCCCTCCCCAAACCCTCCATCCAACCAAAACGTTGACTTTAATAAATATTTAACCTATAAACTTGGCTTTACCTTCACTATAACATCAACTTTATAATGCTTTCTAGTCAATTTTTCAGTCATTTCTTTGGGCCCCTGAGCAGTTGAAGTTAAGATCGAGTCCATGCTCTTCGGGCAGCAGTTGGATCCTTGTTCTGTACATCTTGTATTTTCTGTGATAGAGTGGTGATATGAGTTGATTGCATAGTTACCGAAAAATAATGTAAGTGATTGCATGATACCAGAGGTGGTAACTAAGCAGCAACTCCACTAGAAACCATGGCATTTTGATGATCACATATATAATGGCAGGTAATGCGCTAACCTCCTGACAATGCTAACTGCAATTAAAACAGATTATGAACGGACAATGATATGGTTGCAAAATAGTCATCTTGAACAGCTTCTTATTTTGACAGTTACATAACTTGAGATAGATGGATGCTTATTAACAAAGCAGAAAGGGCTTTACTTTGAATGCTTTATTACAATGACTGTCTCTTCTTTGTTGTTACTGAATGGCAAAGAATGAATGGTAACTGGAACAAGCAGGATGTATGCACCTACTCTAATTGATTTGGGGTACTGAAAGATGTTCAGTGAACAAACTTGAACGCTTCCTTCAAACCACAAGCTGAAAATTATCTGCAACAAATAGGTAAAATCTTAAAACAAAAACAACATAATTATTTCTATCTATTTAAGATGTAGCATTTAATATAAACAAAGTTTGTTATTCCTTACTAGATATTTTCTGGTTTCTTCATGAGTACATACTACACTGCATACAGTGGAGTTACATCTTACAGGAGGATTAGATACTAAAGTCATAAATAAGGAAACAATTGTACACAATTAAACTGGTTTTTAAAAAAATCTCTGAAATTGCTGATAAAGCAGTGTGAGTTTAAACACAAGCTGTAAATGTACTTAAAATATATAGAAGGTGCAAGTATGCACAGAATATTATATCAGAACACTATTAAAGTAATTTTAATTTGAGGGACCATAGATATTAACTTTTTTAGTTAAATGAACATATGATGCAACACCACTGCAAAAATTTTAAGTAAGATAGGCACTTCTAATAATGTGCATTATATAGCTAAGGTACAGATTTAGAATAACACATAAAATGGTGAATTCTATAGTCTAAAATTCCAAAGAAGTAAGATTTTTAAAAACTGTAATTTTAGAAAATAATAAGATCATTAATCAGAATATGTTCTAAGAGTGAGTCAAATTCTAAAGTAACAATATTTATAAGGGAAGATTCTTCTTTTGCTATTTTTTAATTTCATTTTACATTCCAACCACAGTTCTCAAGGTAAGATTCTTACTTTAAAAAGATAGTATTAGAGAAACATTTTCCCATGAGACACACTCATCTCTCCAGCTAGTATGGGACAGTATTCACAAAAACAAAAATGTAGCTGGATTACTTAGCACATTCTTCATTCAACCACTACCTAAGAAGCTACAGGAAAAGATCTGATGTAGCATTTTATAGTTAATCTATGTTCTATTGCGCATATCACACAGATTAATCCTAATTATAAAAACACTTTCATATAAAGTTATCTTATCCATGCATTTTATAGTGAAGCTGTTTTAAATGCTAATTAGTAACAAACTCTAGAAATGATGTCTGAAAGTATAGTTTTCAAAATGCTAATGAACTCACCTTTTATCTCCTTAGTGAATTTTACCCGATGAGAATCAGTCAGAGGTCTGGGTTGCTCATCAATGTTATGAATGTCAAGAACTTCACACATGAACTGAATTACAGGTTGTGCTTTGTAGAAGGCAGTGGCAGAAACTAAGAAAAAATACAAATAGTATAAATTAATATTTAAAAGCCTAGAACCTCCATTGTAAGTTTCCATAATTAACTATGCACAGTTAAAATGATCTCTTATAGGAGTGTATAATTTATACATATTATACTCCCCAACACACACACACACACACACACACACACACACACACACACACACACACACTTTCCAAAATGAAGAAGTTTGATTTCTGAAGCATAAGAAGAGAAAGGTCAAATACTATAGTTTTTATAATCTATCTCTTTCACCATGAGTAACTATTTTCACAGAAGTGTCCCATGAGAAGAACTTGTGAAGCCAAAGAATGCCTGAGAAGATTGTTTCTTAAAGAAGCTTCCTATGCTAGCATGTTAGTTTCTCCTAGAGAGCTTCATTATTTTGTAAGGACTTAAGAGACAGTATTAAACCTGAGTCACAGGTCATACAAGTGGTAACAGGTGGGGGTTTAACTGCCTGTGTGCTAACCAGAATGATTATTTTTAAATGGTTTCTTATCTCTGGGTTTTGGAACTACAAGTCAGTTAGTAGACCACACATCTCCTTTTCTTCTTCCCTCCTTCCTCTTCTTTCTTTTTTCCTCCCCCTCTTCTTCTATTCTAAGACAGGACATCACTATGTAGCAGTTGCCAGTCTGGAACTCAACATGTAGCCTAAGTTGGCCTCAAGTTTACAAAGACACATTTCTCTCTGCCTCCTAAGTTTTGGGATCAAAGGTGTATACCACTACATTTAACTTTATTTTAAGATTAAAAAAATTATGAGTGTGTATTTATCTACGGGAGGGTGTGTGCATGTGAGTGTGTGGGACCTCAGAGGACAGAAGAAAGCCTGAACTCCTTGTAGTGGAGTCACAGGTAGCTATGCGCTGCCCAGTGTGGGTCCTGAAGACAGAATGGAGGCAGCAAGAATGTGCTCTTAACCGTTGATCCATCTCGCCAGCCCTACATTACATTCTTTTACTGAAAAACGGTGGGAGCATTTTTGTGCATCAGCAAATGCCAGCAAAGATGGAGGTGGTCACTCACGCCTTTAATCCCAGAAATCATGAGGCAAAGGCAGGCAGATCTCTATGAGTTCTACATGGCCAGCCAGGGATACATAGTGAGACCCATCTCAAAACAAAACAAACAACAACATCAAAACAAGAAAAAACAAAATCAAAAACATGCCAGTAAGATATATACGTGTGTGTGTGTGTGTGTGTGTGTGTGTGTTTATTGCACTTATTTTTCATTATGTTTCATTACTTCAGCACATGCTGGCCTGGCCCACTTTTTAAGAAGGGAATGGATAAAAGAAATGTATTGTGAATAACATGCTTTTACCTTTCTTTTAATCCTAAAGGTAGATTTTCTTCACTGGATACTACCAGTCACAGCTGAAGCTACCATACTAACATACTACAATGATTTCTTCTACTTTATTTTCCTGTTATACTTCTAACCATTTCACTGTTTACCATCTTCTAAACTACATGGGCATTTGAGTTGAAAATTAAACTTTGTGATACAAAGCTTTAAAAAGGATTTGTTGAAAGGGCAGGTCTCTCATGGAGTAGAGGAGTGAGGAGAAAGTGTGGCCTGCCACCAAACCTGAGGATCTGAGTTCCACTCCAAGACCCCTAAGGTGGAAGGAGAGAGCCTACTTCTTCAAATTGTTCTCTGGAGTTACAGATGATTGTGACCCACAATATGAGTGCTGGAAATGAAACACTGGTCCTCTGATTAGCTGGATGGTGGTGGCTCATGCCTTTAATCCCAGCACTCAGGAGGCAGAGGCAGGTGGATCTTTGTGAGTTGCAGGCCAGCCTGGCCTACAGAACGAGTTCCAGGACAGGCCCCAAAGCAATACCCTATCTCAAAACAAACAAACAAACACCAATCAATCAAACAAAATCAACACTAACAGAATAAAAAAAAAAGGGGGGGTGGGAAACCAACTGGATTTACTGGAGTTTGATTCTAGCCCAATACTCACTAGTTTCCTGATTGTTATTTACATATTTATTTATTATGGTACTTGGAATTGAACCTTTGGCCTCATGCATGCTGAGTGCTATATCACTGACCCTCATTCCCAGTCCTTTGCGCTTCTAATTATTCATCTGTTAAAAAAGAAACAAAAAACAAAAACTATTCCTGAAGCTGGAGAGAGGTCTCAGTAGTTAAGAGTGCTTACAACTATTCCAGAGAATTTGAGTTTGATACCGAGAACTCACATCCAGGCATAACTCCAGGTTCAAGAGATTGATGACCTTTTCTGGTTTCTGTGAACACTCACAACACATCATGGTGTACATACATTCTGTGTATATACATAAACATAAACACATACTTATAAATAAAATACTTCTCAGAGCACTGAAAATTACCAATGCAAGGAATCCATTTGTACCTGAAATACGTAGCAACTCAGAGCATCTTTTTTCACTTCTGAATGATTTTTTACTCATTTGCTCATTGATCTACTGCTTGCAGGCAGTTAAACTATCAAGGTACAGTAATTATTTGCACAATAATTCTTTGAAGAGACTGTATGAAGTCTCATGAAAATGAGATTAGTATTTCACTGTGCCCAAACTAAAACTGTATTAGGATACAGGAGGGTTGGGGGTATAGCTCAATGATCAGAGGACTTGCCTAGTATGTACAAGTCCCTAGATTTGATCCCTAGCACTGCAAAGTAAAAAATAAATAAATAAAATCAGACACAACAGAAAATGATAGATGCAAATAAAAAAAATTAAGTAGTTGCGATATTTAGTACCAAGAAAGTCTGGATCAAAATTAATAGCTGAAAATATGGCAATATATGATGGACCCTAGTCCCCCAAAATATCATAACCCTAACTTAATGCAAGGCAGATATTGCTGGGAGGTATCTTGAATGGTCACATGTTACAACTATTTCTTGCCCCAACTGTGTCATTTAAAAATTAACCATTAGGAGTTGGAGAATGGCTCAGCAATTAAGAGCACTGACTGCTTTTCCAGAGGACCAGTGGTTTTTGTTTTTGTTTTGCTTTTTTGAAACAGGGACTCTCTGTAGTTTTTGAGGCTGTTCTGGAACTAGCTCAGTAGACCAGGCTGGCCTCGAACTCATAGAGATCCACCTGCCTCTGCCTCCCAAGTGCTGGGATTAAAGGCGTGAGCCCCCACCATCCAGCTAACCAGAGGACCAGTGTTTCATTTCCAGCACTCATATTGTGGGTCACAATCATCTATAACTCCAGTTCTAGGGGTCCCAACATCTTCTGGCCTCCAGAAGTACCAGGCATACACATGGTACAGATATATAAATACAGACAAAACAATCATACACATAAAAACAACCTAAAAAATAAAATAAAAAAAAATCATCTTGCTGATACCCCAGAAGCCTCTTTTCTATTATCTTTCCCAAACTAACAGTGCTCTAAAGGATACAAAATTCTTTTTTTTTTTTTTTTTTTTTTTTTTTTTTTTTTTCTTTTCCCCTCTCAAGACAGGGTTCTGTGTAACCCTGGCTGTCCTGGAACTTTCTTTGTAGACCAAGGTGTCCTTGACTAAGATCCTCCTCCCTCTGCCTCCCAAGTGCTTGGATTAAACACATGCTCCACCACCGCCTGGCCAAAATTCTTACTTCTATATTAGTGTCTTCTTTCTTTATGGATTTATAATATGAATACATATGACTAGATCTAGTTTAGATTTCCCAGTTCTTGAATTTTATGTAACTGGAAACATAAACTATGATAGTTAAAGCTTGTTTCTAATGATAATTTAATATAATTAATTTATTTTCATCAATGTATGATTTTTTTTGAGATGTACACAACTATTCTAATTGTGGCTAATAGTTGTCTTGATACTTTTCCTAAGATATTAAAAATGCCATCAATGGTTTGTTCCTCCCTCCCTTCCTTTCCTTTTCTTTTTCTGGAGAGGTTTCTCTGTGTAGCCCTGGCTGTCCTGTAACTAGCTCTGTCATTTAGATTGGCCTCAAACTCACAGAGATTGACCTGCTTCAGCCTCCCAAGCACTGGAATTGAAGGTGTGCACTATTCTTTCTTCCTCCCTCCCTCCATCCATTCTTCCTTCCCTCCCTCCCTTCCTCCCTCCCTCCCTTTCCTTGTTTTTTTAAAGACATGGTCTTGCTATGTAATCCAAGCTGGCCTGGAACTCACCCGTAGTCAAGACTGTCCTTGTAATTCTCCTGCGTTTCCCTTTCCTTGCTAGGATTATAGGGGTTACCATGCCTGGCTTGGTTTTTTTTTTTTTTGTTTTTTGTTTTTAAATCCCTTTCACTCTTTTGAAATAGGGTGTCATAGGACAGACTGGTCTCAAAATTACAGTTCTCCTACTTCAGCCTTCCAAGTGTTAAGATTATAGATGTGGGCCATTGTGCATGTTGGGCACATTGTCTTTTACACACACACACACACACACACACACACACACACACACACACCACCTGTGAGTGAAAGTGTTGGGTCATGAGGGATGTACATTTTTCTCTTAGATAATTCTTTTAGAGTAACTTAGATTCACAATGCTTCCAACCTCTGACCTCTTATAAGCAGTATATGAGCTACTATGGTGGGACCAGTGAGATTCCCATCCCTGCAGGGAAAATCACTTCGCTGCCAAGCCTGACCATACATGTTCCAGCCCAGGGCCCCACGTGGTGGAAGGAGAACTGACTTCTGACTTTCACACATGAACAGCTGCCCTGTATCCTTGCAGAAGTTTGGAGGCTCATTCTCTGAAAAAGGTAATTCAAAACAAAAGCTCCCTGGAATGAGGATGCCAGGCATAGCAGAAGGCACAGAACTGTAGCACAAACAAGGGCTTAAATGACTGGAAACATAAACTGCTGATACAGAAATTCCTCTGGCTCCAATCTCCAACGTGGCTTTCAGAGTGTAGGTGGCCAGACCTAGTCTTTAGACAGGTGCATTTGGCTAACCTGACCCGCCCACTCAGAAGAGACCCAGGGATTA